AGGACAAATCAATAATATGTTAAATTGGGCCACGATGGTGTGTCTTTTGCAAATTAAATGTGCATGGTGCCAAAGGACAATGCTCACTTGCTGCACTTGGCTTATCTTAGGTTGCTGTGCTATTCATAAAAGTGCCATTATTAGAGGAGCAAATAGTTAGAAAAGGTATATTTATTCGTAATAATTGTAATTTATAAAAATGGTTGAAAGACATGCATGCATGCATACACGTGTACATAACTAGTGTCATATAAATACGAGTACAATAAATTTAAAGAAAATTGTAAACAATAACAAATATTTAAACGATATTAAATGTTATAACTATTATTTTGGCAAATAGTGATTCGTAGTTTCCTTAAATCTTGTTATTTGTTTAATTTGTATAATTCTATCAAAATTGTATAATTCGTCTGATTGTATAAATCGGAATTTTGTGTAATTCGATTCTTTGATTGTATAAATCCTTAATCTGTATATTCTTACCCTAGTTGTTTGTACACAATAAATTACCCTGTTTGTATATTAGCAAATGAAATATACAAATGGAGTTCTGAAAATCTTAAATGTATAAATATATCATTTGTATATACTTACCTGTATATTTGCAAGCGAAATATACGAACGGACAAGCAAAAATATACAAATCGCACGAAATATACAAATCAACCCGCAAACAAAACTATAACTATGAAGCACAATTATCGAAACTATAGCTATAAAAACTTATTATATCTATCATGTTTTGATATATCTATAATTTACTCTAAATTTAATGCTAAAACTTTCGACAATTGTTAAAATTATGTATTCTCTTCCGACTTCTGAGTGTATGAAACCGAACAAATTCATTATTTGTTCAATCATTAAAATAGAAATGCATAGTTACATATCTTACTGTGGACTAATAAATTTATGAAATATCGTATAATGAACCGTCTATTGCTAAAGAACATGCGGGTTTCATATATACTTCTAAATTATATTGTACAGTACTCCATCGTACTTACACACAATGATATGAGTTGAGCAATAATTAATTCCTCTTCAAATAATTTAAGGATAACTTTATTTTTCTTTTTTTCTCTATATATGGAGAAAAAGAAAATAAGACAAATATAAAAGAAAATTCCTACTACTAGAGCCTTACATGTGCAAATATATATAATATTTGACAACTTTGACATTTTCCTAATTATGACCACTTTTTTTTTCTGCCAGATCATGTGTCTTTAAATTGTGAGAGTACATTTATTAATAATAATTTCATTTTATTTTGTTTGATCTATTTTTTTAATCCGTTTTAAAAATAACGATTTTTGTAGCGATTTTCAAATGGTATTTGATGTATTTATTTTTGGAACCCTAAGATAACCAACATTCACTACAATCTCTGATCCAGCCTCTGCTCTTCAGGTGAGCAATTTGTACGCATTGGGTAATTTAAAGACCACAAATTAATCCCAGTTCATTATGAGACCTTGTATTTTTAATTTAAGACCACAAATTTAGAATATTTTTTTATTTTTTTAAAACTATATTGACGTCAAAATAAATTAAAACAAAGAACGTACAATTGATGGAGTCTTTTACCCAATGACGGAGAAAGATACCCAACTAAACGATAATATAATAGTATAGGCCAATTTTAGACAATTTTGGAAAAATTACAAGTTGAAGTGTTGTAAGTCATAAAACCTCAATGTAACATAGGAAATATGGACCAAAAAAATGGACCATTGGAGGATATTCATGATAGTATGGTCCAACAATATTAGAAGGTCACGGATAATCTTCAATCAATAATGTGATGCTTTATAAGAATGATCGATCATGATAAAAACTTTTTTAAATTTTGACTACTTGTTAGATTTTTGTATTTCAGAATTATGATATATATAATCTTCTCTGTATCGTTCTAATTCTATCGAATATCCCCTAATGAAATTGTCTCCAAGGAGTAAAATGTACATATTACATATATCATTGGTTGGCCGTTTTCCTAATAGGAAAAGAATATACAAAAGAATTTACGAGGAAGGTAGGGAAGGTAGGGAAGGTAGATACATATAATAATATGTTAATTTCTTAATAAATAGTTGAACAATTAGATAAGATGTCATCTACCAAATAAAAAATATCATGTGTTAATGTCTTTGAACTATAGTTGCCTTGATCATCATTATTGATTTGATGCAATTATATATGTGGGACTTGCACATGGCTTGTTTCATTTTTTCCTTGAAATCTAATGTGATTACCATCCACTAATCAGTGTTTTAGGTGATTGACATTAACTAGCTGCCTTTATTTGATTGGGAAGAGATAAAGTAATTAATTAAAACGTTAATTATTTACGTGTACTTCTACTTCTAACCTCTTCAAACATGATTAATGAGTGGTCTAATTTCAGTAGCTTAAAGGAGTCCATTAAAGCCAAAATAAATTAAATTTTGTTTTTGTTTTCTTAGGCTTTGGTTCTTATAATTTGTATTTTAAAATTCTTTACTCACATTAAAAAAAATATTAATTAGTTTCATCATTATAAAAATTATTTGTCTAAGTTACCAGCATTGGATTTGCTTGCAACTTAAGGTTTAGATTTTATTTTTAAAAAAAATCATAGAGAAATGGAAAGATACTAATTACTAGTGATAGGAACAAGGCACCAAAAAATGGATAGTTAAATCATTCTGATATCTACAATATATTACTTTCATAGTATTAACATTTACTGTTCCCAAGAAATATATATATTCTTGGATTGTACATTTCTTATTGATTTCTATTTCAGACTTGCATAGTGGATTTTGATGCTGAAAGTCTGAATACGTACATATCACCTAATATTGTTACCTAATGGTTAATATCTTAATGATATGGACAAAAAAATGGTGAGTGAGAAATGGTGTAATTATCTCATGGCTTTCTTTATAAAAAAAAAATCACAAGTATTTCCTAGATTATGACCAAAATTTCATACACATCTTAACTAAACTAAGGTCTTATTACCCTTCACTGTCTCCCCGACCTCATTTTTTTTTGTAATTTTATACACCCACGTAGTTGAGGCGTATGAGAGATGTTTGGATGTCACGTAAGCTAAAAAGGTGTCCAAAATTACCAAAAAAAATGGATTCGGAGGGTAATAGGATCTTAGTTTAATTAATAAGGTGTGTATCAAGGATTTCGATCATAGTCTAGGAGTACTTGTGCCTTACCCAACAATTTTTATTTCTTATATATAGATATATTTATCACACATTACATGTTCATGTCAACAAAAAAAAAACTATATATATTATTTAAAAAATAAAAGAATATCAAATCATGTAATTACACTTGCAAAACCAAACATGACACTAGAAATTATGTTATAATTGCGTTATGACAAACAAATATTCATACAATATGTAATTACTATCATAGAAATTACGCAAACAAGTTATTTTACATAATTGTTTTCAAACAAAACCAATTCTCATCCACCTAAGTTTTGGTGGGCAAACCGGTAGGAGATAACACATATCTGATGAAATAGCTGAAGTGCAAAGTAGAACATATTTGATTGAATAATCGAGACGCCCAGAAGACACCAACAACACCATAGCATTATAAAAGAATGATTATGCTTGCGTGCGTAGAAGGACAAGGAGAATAAGATGCTTATATTTCAAAAATAGGAGAATCTTTAAACCATAATTTCATAAGGAAATTACATGATGAGCTTCATGTTCAATACTTTAAAGCTGGCTCTGTTACTTGTTAGGGAGAAATGACACCCTGTTCCCTTAATCTTTCTCTTCGTTGGCACCACGCGTTTTAACGATTTAAAAAAAAATAGTATTATAAATCCAAAATTATTCTTCTCTAACTGCCCAATCTCTAACTAATATTATTCTTTAATCCATGTTTTTTAACTTTTTAATATTTTTTCATTAAAACTAATAACGACAGGTTTTTTAGAGGCTCTACATGAGATATCCTTGTCCTCAGGTGATCTCCTAAAAAGGTGTATTATTTAGATGAAATAATTTACCAGTAGTAGTAGAAGACTATAAGTGGTTATATCTTGAATTAAAATGTCAACTTTGACAAAAGTGTGGTTAAACAAACCCCTTTTGGAGAGTTATGATAAGCTTAAAGCCAACAACTAAGTTACTAATATTTACTAACTAAAATTGGTAAATATAACAATAACAATCTCAAATCTCAAATAAGTTCAACTTCCGGACTTCCGGTTATATGAATTCTCATCGATCATATCTCTTTGTTTATGCTCAATTGATGTCATCATCATTTCTAAATAAAGTAAAATAACAATTTTAACTTGGTATATTGAGGTATAAGTTAAAGGGAAAATACAAGCCAGCTCTAAAGACGAGAGCAATGATTGGTCATTTTCTGGACCCTAAAACTTCACGCCCACTCCAAATCGCTAGGAATTTTTCGAACTTGGCTGGGCTGCCTAAGAAAAAGAAAGGTCCCTGACCTGCTGGCACTGTATCTGGCACCACTTTATTTAGTTCATTCATACTCTTATCGTTACCAAATCATTTCTCGAGGAAAAAGTTCAAATTTACCTCTCGACTTTGACTAGAGTTCTGATTTCAGATTGAAGCTACGTTAAGGTAATTAACTGGAAAACTGAAGCTTTTTCCCTAACAACATGATATTATTATACGAAACGTCTAATTAAGGGCGTACTATTTTCTTATCTTCTCATCCAAACATAATACAGTATAATCCTAAAAATGCAGATACAGGATGGAGTCACTGTCATCCTCGTGGTCACTTTAAACAGCAGAAAGTGCCAACCTCACAAGAAAAGAAGTCTTATGTATGGCAGACTCTAACCTCTCCATGTTACAAATTTTCAATTTCCCCCTTATACCCCTGTCCCTACCCCCCACCCCACCCCCATTACTTTATTTTTTCTCTATAAAACCCTCTCACATTCTTACCCAAATTCTCTCATTTCATAATCCTAACCTTTTGATCATCACCTACTCAATACAAAAAAAAAAAAAAAAGCCTCTCTCTCAAAACCAATTAAAGATGTGTAATTCCAAAACTAAACTGCAGAGCAGCCCACAAACTCTCTCCCAAATCAATGGCCGCCCTGTTCTTCAACCACATAGCAATATAGTTCCTCTTTACGAACGCCGGAACTCGCTTAAAAAGACAACTAACACTGCTGCATCTGTTACTGCAAATGGAAGTACTAAAGTCAAGACGAGTACATCAACAACTCCACCGGTCTCACCTAAAATTAAGTCGCCAAGACTACCAGCTATCAAGAGAGGGAATAACATTGATCCTAATGGCTTGAGTTCAAGTGCTGAGAAAATTGTGACTCCCAAAGGGACTGCTAATAAAGCCCCAATTTTGTTAAAGAAGCCTAAGAAAAGCAGTGGGGGCTTAGCCTCACCCCCTTATGTGGAGAATTCTTCATTGAAATATTCTTCTTCCTTGATAGTCGAGGCTCCGGGAAGCATAGCAGCAGCAAGAAGGGAACAAGTTGCAATTGCGCAAGTGCAGAGGAAAATGAAAATTGCGCATTATGGAAGAACAAAATCAGCCAAGTATGAAGGAAAAGTATCTTCTCTTGACCCTTCATTCGCCCCAGCAGTTATCCCCAATCCTCGAGAGGAAAAAAGATGCAGCTTTATCACACCTAATTCAGGTAACAAGCACCTCAATTCTACGCTTAAAAGGGTAATTAAATACTATATTCTAACACAAGACACACAAATTACAACATTTCGATAAATATGACTAAAATTCATGGTGTTTTGCTGTGTTTTCAGACCCACTCTATATTGCATACCATGATGAAGAATGGGGAGTTCCCGTTCATGATGATAAGTAAGCATCTTTTTTTCCCCTGTTTTTTTGCTTTTTGCATATTTATCAACTTCGTTCTTAGACTAATTTCCTTGTTTTACCTACTCAGTCTGCTTTTTGAGTTGCTGGTATTAACTGGTGCACAAGTTGGATCAGACTGGACTTCAGTTTTAAGGAAAAGGCAAGAATTCAGGTAGGTTTTGCTGGATTTTTAACTGATTCTTGATTAACATTTTTAAAAAAAAAAAAAAGAGGCCTTAAGCTGTATTGTGCACTCTACTTTCCTCCAGGGATGCCTTTTCAGGATTTAATCCAGAAATTGTTTCCAAGTACAATGAAAAGAAGATAACTTCAACAAGTGTCGAATATGGTATAGAGCTTAGCCAAATCCGAGGAGCTGTCGACAACTCTACCAGAATTTTAGAGGTAATAATATAATATGAGCTCTGTAAAGAATTTTAAGAACTGATTTGACTTTTCAACTGTCCTTTCTTTTTCCCAACATATCTGTTAAGAATGACATTTATGATACCCTAATTGGAAGCATAGATGGGAAAGTAAGTTTTAAATTAATTAATCTTCTAATCATGCATGGACCTAACAACTGTTAAGTAACATAACCACATGGGCCATATGGAATAAGTATTGCATACCTGGCCTTGACAAGTACAACCATAAAGTAAGACTAGTATAATTAAATAAATGTTTAGGCTTAAGAAATAGTAAACATATATTGTTGCAGTTCCTGTGATTCTTAAATAAAAATTTGGAAAGTGGGGATCATCCAAGTGTATGATTTTCTTGAATATATTTCAGATAAAGAAGACATTTGGTTCGTTCGACAAGTATCTGTGGGGATTTGTGAACAACAAGCCCATTGCAACACAATACAAGGCATGCAACAAAATCCCAGTGAAGACTTCAAAATCAGAAACCATTAGTAAAGACATGGTGAAAAGAGGGTTCCGCTATGTCGGCCCCACCGTTATACACTCCTTCATGCAGGCGGCCGGCCTCACCAACGACCACCTGATCGCCTGCCCACGACATCTCCAGTGCGTAGCATTGGCAACTCAACCTGCACCACCTGCCCTATAATTTACCTTTAATCAGCTACTCTACTAAGCCATAGTTTTAAGTTAGCAAACAAAAGTTGTTGAGGAAACCTAGTTGATTGTCTAACAATATTCTACCTTTTTTTTTTTTTTGGGGTGATGAATTTAGATGTTTTATGTGATTTTATTTGATGATGTAAGATATTGAGTTGGTTAAATGTATAGAAAGTAGAAAGGAATAAAGTAAGGATGGTATAGATATGGGGGGACAGTAAGCATGTGCAGGGTGGGCAGGGGAATGCCAATGGCATGTGCCATTTGATTTAATTTTGTGTGGGCACTGACCACCACCATCAGCAGCAAAAGCCATCACTGCACCACTATTTACTTGCGTGCTTTTGAACAGTGACTTATCTTTCAAGGATAAGATCATCATCAACATCAAGTACACAGAGGAGGAGCCTTTGCTTTCCCCAATTATAGGCCCTTCATTCCTGTTTCTGCAGGGAATAAATAGTGAATGATTTATTCCCTGCATCATTCAACAAAAATGAAGCCACGTGCAGCATCTTAACACAAAAGTAAAGGGGCATTAGTTTGGTTATGTTTGTTGCCCCATCTTCATATGTTAACTTGACAGAGAGGCAAGCACAAAGTGCCTTGCAGTTTGTATCATATGTTTAGTGTGGAATTTTGAGTGTTTTTTCTTAGGACTTGGCCTTGGCTTTTTTACTGAACCTTGTTTTTTTCTTATGGGGATTGTAATTCTATTATGGATTTTAGTGGTTATCAAGATATTTTATGGATGCACTTTTCTGGATTCTGTTCAATTGGATAAGTTAAGCATCTTCTTCTACATCACATGTGCTTCTCAGCTTTTAAAAGTCACTTTGGTGGATCAGATGGTAAAAGCCCCCTCCCCCCCCCAACACACATGTGCACATGGGATGTATAGCTCAGCAGTTCATTGCTTTTCTTTGCACCATTTAAAAGTGGATTGGAGATAAAATCTTAAAGTAAAGGCTCTCTTGTGCAGGCAAACAACACTTAATTTAGTTGAGGTTACGTAACAAATATTTAAAGATGAAGCCAAAAAAATAAGTTTAGAAGTTGACATAGTTTTTTGACATGAATTTCACTTTAAAAAATTTGGCGTTTGTCAACAGTGTTTCTCTGCTAACATTGATTTGCAAACAATATGTATGTCCAGATGCAAGTTCTGCCGTTTATAGATTTTACAAAATACCAGCCTCAACCTTTTCTTTTCCTCTTCCTTTGAACGGGTGGAATACCTGCCCCAACCTTTTTTTTTAAAACCAAACAAAGGGGGGGGGGGGGGGGGGGGGTAACCAATCCAGCAGGAAAATAGGTAAACAGATGCAAGACAAGAAGAACTTGGACAGGTTCTGGGCTGCGGAGATAGGAACTACTAGAAATTCCCCAGTGAAAGTGAGAAGTAACTTCGCGCATACAAGCACAAGAGACCACAATGATAAAATAAGAATGAAAACAAAAGAGGCTGGAGTGGTGCTATGAAAGCCACAAGATCCTGCAAACCTGTAAAGAAGTGTTCATAACAATGTAGAAAGTTAAGGCATAAAACAAAATGAAGTTCATCGGATTGCTAATTGATCTCCATCAAAAAGGAAGTTGGAACATAACTCGACAGGCTAAAGATATGCACAGTAATGTCCTATAATCGAACTCCATGAATATTGCAGTTTAGGCAATATTAGCGAATGTGAAAGAGATGGTGCAAAAAAGGGAAAGAGACCTCAACCATGGATGTGACTGAAAGAACTCACTCACAGTATTGGATGCCCCTCATCTAATTTATTTCGCTTAATTTTCAATGCATTTATCACCTTTATGCGTTAGAAAACATCTTATTAAAGCACAAAGCAGAGAAAGCAGAGAAAGCATAAAAGATCTCTGTTCTTGGCTGATCAATTGGATCCAACTGAACCTGCTGACCAAACAAAACAAATTCCAAGTAGAATTGACAAACTAGAGATCATTCACAACTCAAAGCTTTAAGCACTTGGAACACCATATACTGCACAAAGGATGAACAACCAGTTCATAAGCTTCATTTATTAGACAGCAACCATACTAAAATACTTGCATAAAAAGAGCTAAAAAAAATGTAGCTCGCCTTTAAATTGCACTTTGCAATTAAAGCCCTACCATGGCTTGACGGTTTCTGCAGCTTACTATTACTACTTGCAGTTATGCTGCTGCACTAGATGCAATATTGCAGTAGTTCGCTAGCTATACCCCAGAAGTTTGTGGGAGATTTGATAAGGCAGCATATTGAGAATTTTCTGCGTGAAACTCAGAGTTTGAGTATTGGAAAGAGATTGGAAATAGGGAAGTGGATAAACAATGAAGAAGAATATGAGGTTGAGAATTTGTGTTTGATCCTCTAAGCATGAACCAAAAGAACAGAACAAGCATAAAAGGTAGAACTACAATTCAATCAAAAGGTTTAAGCTCTCCTTTTCTTTATAAAGGTAATGCTCGGCCCAGCTTGTGTATCGCTCAACTATACTTTTGGGCACCTGCTACCGCTCACCAGCACAAGTATTTGGGAGACTTGCCACAAAAGCTTAGACAAATAAGAAGAAAATACCTAAAAAGAAAAAATTGCCTATGTTGGAATTTGGACTTTGTTCTCCTTTTTCATCCTGACTGAATTGACCATCAGGACATCCTTAGACCTTAGGTGCTTGAGCTCTTCTTTCACAACAATAATCAAGAACCTATTCATCTAACCTACAAATCATCTCTTTTTGATCCAATGGTATTGTATCTCTGGATTTATCTTAACATACTTGATTCATGACTAGACACTTGCAAGAAATCATGAATCAGTCAACAGCATCCGTCTACAACTTCGCTACATTACAATGAAATCCCTGTTTGTTTAACTTAACATTGAAGGCTGCATACTGGAATTTCAACTATAATATGTCAATGACTGTGGTGTGGCCATGGAAACACATAATTTAGCACGTGTAAGCTATGAAGCTCGGTGAACCCAGGTTGTTAGTTTCGCCTTGCTTAACTGGCACTTTAGTGAAGGTTAGTTTCGCCTTGCTTAACTGGACTTTAGTGAAGGCTGCATACTGAGATTTCAATTATAATATGGTGTGCCTTGGAAACACATTACGCCCTTAGCACGTGTAAGTTACAAAACTCAGTGAGCCCAGGTTGATAGCTTCACCTTGCTTAACTGGTACTTTAGTGTAGGCGACTAGGCGTCAAGTTGCTAAGGTGTGTGCACCTTCACATCTTCCAGAGCAGAACAACATATCAGATATATGTAGCTTAATTATAAATTTTCCATATTCAACAAATAATTATTATTTGCATTTATACCAACAGTTTTGGCATTACATTTCTATTTTATTTTATTTTTGATGAAGTGCAATACATTTCTATTTTCTATTTTTTTATTTGTTTGGTATTTTTCTTCCATAAGCCCTAATTGCACTTTGCACTTGAAGCTCCACCAGACTATCCCCTTTTTTTGCACGTCCCGATTTTAATTACTTTGTAGGTACTAACTACAAGAACTGTGGTCACATTTGAGCATTGAAGTTACTATCAATATCATCTAATAGTCACAAGCCCTATGAAGTAACGAGAATCTTAATATAAGCAGAAGCTTAGCTTCTCAAAGGATTCTTAAATAAACATACTTACTTAAGAAAACAAGCTTTCCAAGTAAAGCACGAAGAACCAACCTACCACTGAAATAGACTGATGAGCTCAGGTCATGGATACTTGAGCATAAGTTGGTATATCTCTCAAGGGTGTAGCTAATTGAAGTATCAGGAACATGTGTCGATTTTACATGTAAAATATTTATTCATAAAAGAGATACTGACAATGCCAAATATGTTCTAGAGCAAAAAGATCCACAGTCAATCTCATATTTGTTCCATTTCCACATCTGTTTGAGAAACAAAAATGTTTGCAGACAATATGTTCAAATCAAACTAATGATATTTGGGTGACAAGCAAATATTATCATGCTAACTTCATGAAAACAAATCATGAACTAACATGTTACTATAAATCAGCAACGCTCAATCCCAAACCAGTTGGGATAGGCTAATGAGCCAACATATTACTACTGAATAAAAAAGCTTAAACTTGACTAGCACAGAATTAGCAAAAGATTTCAGACCAAACACAAAACTCTCACCAAATGAAAGAGCAGCTAAATTCAAAATAAGAAGCCATAAGAAAGAGTTCATGACCAGTTTAGCTTTTATTCTGAGTAATGTAGCCTTCCTTTCGCCCCTCAAAGCCCGGCCTCATGAGCTTCTTTTCCCTTTTGGCAATCTTCCTCATCTTCTTCTCCTTGGCTTTGCCAGCAATATTATCCCTTCTCTTCTGCTGACGCTCATTCTTCATCTTCTCCGTAGTCTGAATTCTTTCCTTCCACTTCTCAGAACTCTTCTCTTTCTTTCTCTTATCCTTCTTCAAACTCTCCTTCAACAACTTAGGGTTATCAAACACCTTCAATCCCATTGCCTTGTTTGCTGCTGCCTTCCATGCTTCCTTATCTGCCAGCGTCTTATTCTCCCTCTTCACCTCTTCCAGCCTCTTCAGTCTTTCCAACTCTTTAGGTTTGGATACTTTCTTCTTCTTCTTTTCTTGTCATAGTCGTCTCCTAATTTAACTTTCCCAAACTCTATGTCCTTTTCCATTGAAGTATCTTCTCCATTGTCGTCTTCATCCCTCTTTCTCTTCTTACCCTCGGATTTCTCTAAAGATGCATCTGTTTCACTCCTCTTGCGCTGATTAAATTTGTTGCGCTCCGAACTCTCGCCATCACCCCGGTTACCACGGAGCATTTCGATCTTTCTGTGTAGCCTTCGCCTCAACTCTTCGTAAGTACCAGAGGAGTTATCGTTGTTAGGGTTATCGTTTTCCTCCAAATTAATGGGCGTAGGTTCACCATGATCGTCCTCGCCGGAATCATCTTCCTCATCAGTTTTTTGCTTTTTCTGAAGGGATTGTTCGAGGAGGCCGACAGTAGAGGACTGCTCTTTCTTCTCAGGGTCAAGCCGGTTGCGGCGGGCGAGTTTGAGGTTCTCCCTGGATTGTTTCTTCAATGAAGCTTTGGCGGCTTTGGGAAGGCCTCGATACCAGGTATCGGGTTCATCTTTAGGGAGGTAGAATCGAGGAGGAATTAGGTCAATCAACTTGTCGAAGAAAAGCCTGTTATCCCGGATTAGGGCTTTCAAATCTATGGTGGTGCTGGTAGTTACGACGGCGGCGTCCGCCGTATCTTCGGCGGAGATGGTGGTGGACTTCTGTTTCTTCTTCATTGCGGCTAGGTTGGATTGACAATTTGGACTAGGAAGAATTTTTTTGCAGTTATACGACTAGAGGGAAGAGGAAAATTTTGGGCTCAATGTTGGAAAATCAGAAATATATTGGGCTGTCTGGTTTCATGGACCGGAACAATATGAGCAATCAGCCCAAACATAAGTAATGGATCATTGCTAAAGTGAAGATATTGAATTTAGTATAATTTACATAAATCCAAAGTGTTAAAAGTTAATTACATTATTTCCCCACTCTTTTCCAAATTACAAAAATATCTTAAAATTTATGAATTTTGGATACATCACTGGACTTCCGAATACATTAGCAGACATCTGGATATATAGGTGAGGGATGTATCCGAGAGGGGAGGGATATATCACAGACGGGATAGGACATCCGGATACATAGGTGAGGGATGCATCTGAGAGGGGAGGGATGTAACCGAGAGGGGGATAGGGATGTATCAACGAGAGTAGAGTGATGTATTCAAGA